GTCCCCAGCACCGACCCGCACCGAGTGAGAGTTGTGACTCAGCCGCCCGCTGACATCATCGCTATTAATAGTGGGCTCCGTAGAAAATTAATTAATTAATCTAAATTAATGAGGGGGTTGGAAGGGCCCGTCCCCTTTAATCAGAGGGTATTTATAACACGGCGGCTCTGGCGCGTTTCCATCCCGGGCTGGGAGCAGCTCCCGGTGGCACCGATGTTCCCACGGGGACTCCGAGTGGCATCTGCCACCCCGAGTGTCACCTGACACAGCCCTGGGACTGTCCTTGGTGTCCCCAACTTCCCACGGGGGACCCTGAGTGACATCTGCCACCCCGAGTGTCACCTGACACAGCCCCAGGACTGTCCCTGATGTCCCCAGCTTCCCCAAGGGGACCCCGAGTGTCACCTGACAGAGCCCTGGGACTGTCCTTGATGTCCCCAACTTCCTACGGGGACCCTGAGTGGCATCTGCCACCCCGAGTGTCACCTGACACAGAACTGGGATTGTCCTTGATGTCCCACGGAGTTCCCAAGTGGCACCTGACACAGCCCTGGGACTGTCCTTGGTGTCCCCAACTTCCCACGGGGACACTGAGTGGCATCTGCCACCCCAAGTGGCACCTGGCAAAGCCCTGGGACTGTCCTTGGTGTCCCCAACTTCCCACGGGGGACCCTGAGTGACATCTGCCACCCCGAGTGTCACCTGACAGAGCCCTGGGACTGTCCTTGGTGTCCCACGGAGTCCCCAAGTGGCACCTGGCACAGCCCCAGAACTGTCCTTGATGTCCCCAGCTTCCCAATGGGGACCCCGAGAGGCACCTGACCCCCTGAGGGGACCCCAGAAGTGTCCTTGATGTCCCCAACCTCTCTCTGGGGACCCTGAGTGGCACCAGACAAAGCCCTGGGGACCCCAAGTGACACCAGACACAGCTCTGTGACTGTCCCTGATGTCCCCAACTCCACCCCCAGGTGTGACAGAAGCCAGCAGTTCCCCCAAAAGAGCGATCCCAAAATCCCAGCGGTGTTTTGGGGACAGAGGTCAGGCAGGTCCCCAGCCCGGTGTCACCGTCACCGTCACCGCTGCTGAACCCAGGGTGGCCCTGTCCCCACCCCGAGCTGTCACACCAGCTCACGGGGCAGGAATTGGTTTCCTGCAGCCCCATCCGGCCCCGCCACGAGGAGGGGACAGGGACAGGGACAGGGACATCCGGCCAGCCCCACGTCACCCTGGGAAAGGGCCGGTGAGTCAGGCCCGGGACGGGTTTGGGGTGAATCAGCGGCCCCAGGTGCCAGGCGGGCCCCGGGGTGACTCCCTGAGCCTGGAATTTGGGGAGCAGGGACGGGGTGAGAGAGGGACAGGGGTGACAGAGGGACAGGGACACACGGGAAAGGATGGGATCGCCATGGGGATCGGCCACACGGTGACCTGGCCTTGGGGACACCGGAAAGGACAGCGGGGGACAGTGGGGACTGGGACTGTAAAGAGATTGGGACTGTGGAGGGACATTGGACTGAGGCCATATANACGAGGAGGGGACAGGGACAGGGACAGGGACATCCGGCCAGCCCCACGTCACCTCGGGAAAGGGCCGGTGAGTCAGGCCCGGGACGGGTTTGGGGTGAATCAGCGGCCCCAGGTGCCAGGCGGGCCCCGGGGTGACTCCCTGAGCCTGGAATTTGGGGAGCAGGGACGGGGTGAGAGAGGGACAGGGGTGACAGAGGGACAGGGACACACGGGAAAGGATGGGATCGCCATGGGGATCGGCCACACGGTGACCTGGCCTTGGGGACACCGGAAAGGACAGCAGGGGACAGTGGGGATTGGGACTGTAAAGGGACTGGGACAATAAAGGGACTGAGACCATGGAGGGACAGGGGTGACAGAGGGACAGGGACACACGGGAAAGGATGGGATCGCCATCGGGATCGGCCACACGGTGACCTGGCCTTGGGGACACCGGAAAGGACACCGGGGCACAGTGGGGACTGGGACTGTAAAGGGATTGGGACAATAAAGGGACTGGGGACATGGAGGGACAGGGGTGACAGAGGGATGGGGACACGGGGGAAAGGATGGGGATCGTCATTGGGATCGGCCACACAGTGACCTGGCCTTGGGGACACCGGAAAGGACAGCGGTGTCCTGGCCTTGGGGACACTGGAAAGGATGGGGATCACCATTGCGATCGGCGACACGGTGACCTGGCCTTGGGGACACCGGAAAGGACAGAGGTGACCTGGCCTTGGGGACACCGGAAAGGACAGCGGGGGACAGTGGTTTTTGGAACTGTAAAGGGATTGGGGACATGGAGGGATGAGGCCATTTAGGGACAGGGACAGGGACCATAAAGGGACTGGGACAGTAAAGGGACAGGGACCATGGAGGGACATTGGACTGAGGCCATATAGGGACAGGGATCATATAGGGACAGGGGCTATACAGGGACCATATGGGGACAGGGACCATAAAGGGACCAGGACCACAAAGGGATTGGGGCCATGGAGGGATTGGGACCACAAAGGGTCAGGGGCCATAAAGGGATTGGGACCATGGAGGGACTGGGACCATGAAGGGATGAGGCCATTTAGGGACAGGGGCCATGGAGGGACTGGGATCCTAAAGGGACTGGGACCGTAAAGGGTCAGGGGTCATAAAGGGACTGGGGACACAAAGGGACAGGAATAGGGGTCATATAGGGACAGGGATCATATAGGGACAGGAGCCACACAGGGACCATATGGGGACAGGGACCATATAGAGACATTGGCCATATAGGGACAATATGGGGACAGGGACCATATAGGGACAGGAGCCATACAGGGACCATATTGGGACAGGAACCATATAGGGACAGGAGCCATACAGGATCAAAGCACCCCGCGCGACAGAATGACAACGTGCAGTGTCCCCTCCCATGTCCTGCTCCTGTACGGGTCGGGGACCCCAAGCAGGGGTGGCCACCGTGGCCACCACAGTGACCAGTCCGGCAGTGA